TGCTGCCACAGTGGAGTGACCCACCAGGAATGGCAAGCCCTGACTCCAGCTAGGTGGCGCTGGCAGGCAAGGTCATAGCCAGAGCAGCCCAGAAGAACCCAGGCAGGACCCCAGCCTCAGCCAAGCAGGAGTGGTGGAACCCAGTCCCAGCTAGCCTGAGAGGGACAGCAGGACCCCATCCCAGCTGCACCAGAGCCCCAGCCATCCTGAGTTGGCCTTGACAGGCTGGTAGAATCCCGGGCCTGGCCACCCTGAAGTGGGCTGGTAGCTTCCAGCTCTGTCTGCCAACAGTTAACCAGTTATATTGTTTAATTGGTTAACAATTTTCATGGTCATTTACATCCCTATTGGTCACTGTTACTGAATTTACAATTGCCAAAATCCTGACGAGAATGTTTTGGTATTGAGGTAACCAGGAAAAATCACCTTTACTTTTAAATCCCCAATACGAACTTGCATGACTTCTAGTCGTAAAAATCAAGGTGTTGCTTATAAAACAAGCACTTTATATTGAGTCATTGAGAATCAACAAACATGAAGCCTCTCTATGCCATTTTAAAAGTCAATTTTCAGAGCAGAATTGCTCTTGAAGATCCTGAGAAAATCTGAGCTGCAGACTTCCTGGATTCTCTGCGAGAGCAAGTAACCTTGCAATAAATTACACAGGAAATTGCCATGATCAATGCAACTTCAGACATGTCAAAGGCTATAGTCATCAACATTGAAGACTTCTGCTGAATAAGTTTGAGCTACAGAAGGCATCTTTGAGAGTTAAAATAAAAAATTAAAATGAAACATTTTAGTCCACGTCTCCCTTGATTTTATAAAATTCCTGCCTCCTCCAAAAGAAAGTAAAAATTAAGAACAAAAAACCCATACATCTGGGCTTCCACTGTGAATGCAAGTTTCAGGCTAAAGGAAAAAAGATGTTATCCAATTTGGGTGGCCGAAACATAGGAGACTGAACTGGGGTAAGGTTTCCAGTGTATGTTTTTTACAGTATAGCCACCAAGTAAACTCACTAGTGGAGACACCACAAGCATGAACCTTAGGTCTTGTTTGTTTATAAATAACCCAGCATCACTAACTCAGAGGCAGGCAATAATTTTTAAAAGGGGACCACCTCAGAAATTTCTGAATTGGTGCTGGGCCTCCAACAGAAGAGGCAGGGCCTCCAGCGAAAGAGGCCAGGCCAGGCGACTTATTGTGCTCTCTCCCCATCCCTTGAAAGAAATACCAGCTGTTGTAAAACAGTTCCCTCTTGGTGCCTAGCAGGAGATGACCACACACACTCTCCCTGCCCCCAGACCAATCACTGTGTGAAGTCTGACACCCACAAGAGTGTGTGGTGGCTAGAGACACAGCCGGCTGTTTTAAAACAGCCAGTGTCTCTCTAGCTGCTTTGCGCCCCTGGAAGGGTGGGGACAGGACACGAGAGACTTTGTGCACTCCCAGTTCCCAGGCCCTGATGGACCTGGGGGCAGGGAGCACGCAAAGCTAACCCCTCTCCCCCGGCCAAAGGCACTAGCTGCAGGCACTCTTGCAGGGGAGGGGAGAGTTTGTGCTCTCCCCTCCCACCCCTAGGCCCTCACTGGCCTGGGGATGGGGGAACAGCAGGGAACCCAGGGGACAGATCCATTGGCTTGGCAGGCTAGATTTGGCAGCAAAGGGCTCTTTGCCCATTTCTGCTGTAACTACTTTGACTTTGACTCTGAAATAATAGGACAAGCCAGGGTCTGCACCAGCAGACGGGTACATTGAGTATTAGTTTGGTGAAAACGCTGGCTCACCCATGGTCCTGTTAAACCAGTTTTAACATTAGTGGTTTAGCAAAATTGATTTAAAAATCGGTCCTGTTAAACCCCTGAAAGTTCCGAGCAAAGGGGAACCTCAACCAGTTTAACACTGGTCTTTGATCCACTTTGAACTGGTCAGCTCAGGTCTCAGGTTTAACACACACACCCCGCCCCCGGAAGGGGAGAGTAAAGGAGGCAGCGCAGCCTGGCGGCTAAAGCACAGGACTGAGCCGGCGCTTGCTCCTGGATCTGGCTACACTTGTGCGGGAAGCACATGCCCGGCTAGGGGGAACCTCAACCAGTTTAACACTGGTCTTTGATCCACTTTGAACTGGTCAGCTCAGGTCTCAGGTTTAACACACACACCCCGCCCCCGGAAGGGGAGAGTAAAGGAGGCAGCGCAGCCTGGCGGCTAAAGCACAGGACTGAGCCGGCGCTTGCTCCTGGATCTGGCTACACTTGTGCGGGAAGCACATGCCCGGCTAGCAGGGGTATATGGCAGCGGCGCGGGCAGCAAGTCCCCTGCGGGCCTGGCTACGCACCCAAGCGGCGCCTCCCCCATCTACTCTGCAGCGCGCAGCAGCGGGGCGAAGCCTCTCCCTGCCGCGCAGCGCCCGCCCCGCCTCACCTCAGGCAGCGGGGAACGTGCCACCGCCAGGCCCCGCGGGCACCAACCCCCACAGCGCCCGGTGACCCGACAGAACCAGTATCACCCCAGCGCGCGTCTACACAGGAGCGCCTAATCCGAATTCAGGCAACCGGGAGTGGGGGGAAGAAGCGGCGTCAGGAGTCCCCGGCGCAGCTGCAGAGCAGGACCCCAGCGCCGAAGCACTCGCCGCCGCCTTACCCGCCGCCGCCGGCC